GGAACTTAGTTTAAGTCACCATAATGGGCATACATAGTGAGTAATGGGATTTCCCCAACAGTGCCCAAATTGAGTTCCTTAACAGCTACCTAGGCTTTCTGCATTTCGTAAGTTTCCAGGCAGCAACCCCCTTCCTGTCGAACACGACTGTTGCGCCAAGTGGCCCGTTGCGCTGCTGCAGCCAGTGTCAGCGCCCTCCCAGTGTAGGCTCAAGGTGACCTAAGCAGTTCACTTTGCCAGTTACCACTAAGGTTTAGGGATTAAGTTTTTTTTTGTTAGGGGTTTAGGGTTTTAGGGCTACCACTACCTGGACCGTGAGTGCCCTTTTTGTTTTGGGATTCTGTATTTTGTTGAGCGTATCCATACACTGTGGGACGTTCGGAGGACATCTAAGTAAAGGGACCAGCCCTTAGGGGCAGGAGTATTTTGACAGTTTCTTGGTCCATCCACACCTGCAGGCACAAGAACGTTATCGACACAAATCAAGCCTTTGCAATACCCTGCATGGCAGAAGCGGTTGTAAGCCCGGCCTACCGGAGATCTTTTTTTGGAGGCGCCTGAATCCTTCCTCTAATCCGTCGTACATCGCGGCGTGAAAGTCAAAGATAAGATCGGGCCATGTGCTGTAATTGATGTTCCTGGTTGCGTTCCGCCGGGTACCAGGAGCTGTCATTGAATCGATCAGTGGCTGGCAGTAAGGAAGAAGCACAGACAAGGAAACAACATCCAATTCCAAAAACAGCTATGGCTGGGATAAGCACATACCTCATTCAAACGTGAACTGAGCAGAGTTTTGGGTTTGTGTTACTCGTGAATCATGGGAGCTTGCCACAAACACGCCTCGAATCCAAGAACTTATCATGTTCTTAAAGCATACTCGCGATATCTCGCGATGGTGCAAAACTTTTAGCCTGCAGCACACTCTAAATCGACTACCCCTGGCGAACATATCCTGCTGCTCGGAACAATTGACATTGGCCGTGCCTCCGCCATGAAGTCTCCTCTTTGTAAACGTCGATGGCTTTACATAGCAATGTCGCAGCACACAGTTCATACTACGATAGGAGGCCCACGACACTTAGGACACCAGAAAACTTTGGGGAAAAATTGCCTCGGGGCCATGGAAAAAAATAGAGACAGGGGCATCTCTCAAAAGCATTGGCTCCCCCATATACAGTCCGACCCTGACGTCATAACAATTGCAGCTCGGGAAC